GCAAATAAACAAAAATTCATACTGAAGAAAGCCTATTTAATACTGAAGCATACGTACATCCTTTGTGAACCGTTTGTTGTGGCATCTAGTTACTTTATTTGATTTTATTCTGAATTCGGGCCTTGGAACATTACATTTGTGGACCAGATGTCTGCATTTTCCCCAAACAGCCTCTTTAATAAGGTCACGGATGACTGATGTTGGTTGACGACATTCAGGCTGAGAATATACTTTTATCTCTGCTGTCTGACAAAAATATTGTGTTTGCATTCAGGTCACTAAATAGCTACGACGCATTGCAATGTCCTGCTCAGCCCTGATTCCAAACATTTCTAAAATTGGAAGTTTGTGTTTTGCTTTTCTAATTAATGTCGCCTCTTGAGAGAACAGAATAATTAACTTAAACAGTGCTGAGTCACACACACCCATGCTAACTTTTATCACCGTCAAGCCCTGCAGCAATAACAAATTTGTTTAATCACGGTTGGTAGTGGGTTATAAGGATCCTGCTGTGAGGGTAATTGTTCTCCTCCCCTGATGTGCCTCATAAAAACCTCATAACAAACATGTGCTGTTAAACCTGCACCACACATCTGCCACAATAAAAGGAAACTGAGACACTGTAAACTGACTGAGAAGCAGAAGAATCCCCAAAGTTAAATTGTGCATTTAGTAGGCATGGGAAATTATTTAGTTGCTTTTAGATGTCTAACCGAAGTCTGACTTGTTTGTCATTCTGATTCTGAATTTAGGAGTACTGGTTTCAGAGAGTATACATTTCACTACTGCAATTAATCTAATTAGTGTCTGTGTGTAATATGTGAGGGATCTGTTCTATAGTCTCAGTTTCAAAAGAAAGGCCTAATCTCAATAAGACTGAATAAATAAATCTTGACCTCAACTGACATTGCAGAATAATGTAAATTGTCTATTCTTTGTTAATAATCTTGCACCTGAAAAAACACCTGTATCGTTGTAGTTTGGCAAAGGTAAAAAACGGTATACTTTATTTGCCTGTAGAGAAAAATGTAAAGAGACAGGTAATTCAAAGCTTTCTATTTTCTTCCAGATAATTAACTATTAAGTCTTTTTCAAAAAAAAATTCAATTACACTAGACTAGAGAGTCTTTATCATTATCATTAGAGTTATTTTAGATACTAACGTTTTAACTAACACATTTTCCTTTAATGTACAGATTTTTTTTTAAACTAATGTTTACATGTTATATACAAAAAGATATCTGAACATTATTTTAAATATGTAATCACTGTGCCTGTTGTTTGTGGTAGGCTACAAAAGTAAGTCTTCTAACTCTAATTAATCGTGTATCTCTGCAGCTCTCTAGTTGATAGGCTTACTTAAGCACTTTTTTAAATACACTTTTCAATGCAGCACTAGTGTGTTTGCCTTATCTGGTTTTACGACTTTTACTATAGGCTTAAAGTATTTCTTCAACCTCTGAACGATAGGTGCCTCAGAGAAAGAAGGTTGAACTCTTTTACACAACAACAAATCATCACATACTGATGAAAGTGAGGCTGTACCGACCTGTTGAACATACTGATGCACATCCTCCACTTTCTGGAAAGATGATTCATTCGGTGTGATCATGAAAAACATTGCCCGGGCCCCCGTGGATACCGAGTCGGGGTTCACAGCTCCAGCCATTGGCAGACCGCACCGTGCTCACCGCTAATCCGTGTCACTCTCTGTTACCTGCGCAGGTATTGAGCGTTACTTTGGATCTACTTTCTCTGATGTGTTCGCCGTTTTATAGCCTTGTTTTCCTCTTTTCCAAGTTAGTTAACTAGGTCAGTTGCGCAATTGAGAGCGCCCCAGCAAACTTCTCACACACAGGAAGAGGAGTCCGTGACAGTTAAAGCTGCAGAATACAGTTACTGTATTTATTCAGCTGTAAATTCTGCTTCGTTTAAAGGTTGGCGAGGAAGGTTATTTTAGGTCAGGCTGTACTTAAGGGTATCTCACGCCTTATCGCTTTATCTCGCGAGAGTTAGCGCTGTTTGTACATGTTTTACAAGTGGTGCAGACTCTCTTTGACAGCCAGAACTATTTATGGTCACAAAAACACAAGTTCCCCCAGGCTTGTTTCCTGCGCACACAAAAAAAAGGTCTGTAGTCTTTGTTGATTAGCCTTTGTGGAAACGTGGATGCTGTAGTAACTTAGTTAACTGATTTGTTTATTAGTGTGTGAATGAACATTGTTTCCCTTTACATTAAGATTCAAAAGCCTCGCAGCACACAGATTAATTGTGTTAGTAATTGACAGAACCAGGTTAGCTGTGCTAACTGAATGCTCACTGAATAGCTTCTTATTTAAGGTTCACTGTTGATAGACAGCAGTGACGTGCAGTCAGTGGAGGCAGGGGAGGCAGAGCCTCTGTACTGTACCCAATATACAAGCTGTTAATAAACTTTTCAATCAATCAATCAATCAATCAAACCTGTCATACTCCAATGTAACGGAAAAACAACTAAAGAAAAACGAAATAGTAATAATAATAAAATGTCTCCACTGATCTGTGTTGTAAGTGTGATTTATGTATGATTCTAATCGCTTTTTATAGTCAAAATCAGCAAATGTGCCGAGCTCCGCTACGGGAGCGATGACAAGTGAGGCAGGGGCGTGCTCTGCCTCTCGTAAACCCACAGTAACTTGCTGGAGCGCGGGCACTAATGCAGCGCGGGCACTTATTTTGTGAGCGCGCTCAAGCCATTTACTGTGGGCTGAGTTGAGGCACAGATAAGATCTGCCTCACCTCAGAATGCGTCACCCCACAGAAACTGGCTGGAAAGCGGGCCCTAAGCGCATGCCTGTTACCATCTCACTGTAGGTCACCAATGTAATGTTTGTAGATCCCTTTATTACATTTATCCTCGCCATCCATAGTCTCTAAATAACTTATTTCACGTATATATGATATTTAGGCTCGCTGGTATCAACGGCAATGAAAATGCACCAGGGGAGGCAGCCATAACCTCTGCCGCACTGAAGGGGGCGCACGTGAGCCCACAGGTTCTTGTTGCTACTGTAATTCTACGCAGAGACGGGAGACGTAACAACAAACTAGACTTTTGAAACTACAGGAAGATAAGGAGGACTTTTACAAAAAAGTAATAGAGATTGTTGTCCAGAAGGATAGCATGGACTTCATCTTCAAGTCAAGGTAAGACCACATTTGTAATGAAAATGGGATCTTACTAAGAAAGAACAATCCAATATTTAGATTTTGGGTATCCTTTTGTTGAACAGTCTGTTTAAAATGAATCGAAGCATCAGACTAAAAAAGCTTTTGAAAATAACCGAATATTTCGATTAAAGTCAAAATATAATATTTGTAAATCTGACCAGCCATGAACCTCACCGCACGTCACTGATAGACAGAGAGATTGGTGTCACTTTTTATTAAAACTCCACCATAAAGCAAATAAGCAAACCAAAAGGTTGAACTTTACTGCTAATATGTGTCTGCAAAAATACTGACATGTAAAATATGTAAACTCCCAAGAGAAAGACTGAAAGTTCATGTCTCTTTAAACCGTGACGTAAGGTAGGGCATAGGATTCAGGTGAAACTGATCATAAAGCTCATCTAGATTAGCCTTAGCTGATGCAATGCAGATATGGTGAGGGCAGGTTCAAGGGAAACCTTAGAGGTATGACAGGTCAGAGGTTCGAACAGGTGTCTCCTGTAGATTTATGATGGCAACCAGGCTAGTTAAGGCCAAAGTTTTTGAGTCCAACTCAAGTCCAAGAGCAGGTATGGTTAGAGGCCAAATCAAGACCGAGTCCAGAGCATATCAGGTCCTGTTCAAGATCATTGTAGGCAATAACAACTTGTGTTGGTTAATGCAGGCAAAATAGAAGTTAACAGAAACAAAGTTATGAATAGAAAGTGAAGCAAAGTTAAAAGTAGATTAGTGACCCATAATACTTACTCATTTGCGTTTTGAGTCACCTTCAAGACAGTTTCTAATCAAAGTCTGCTGAAGAGAAGACCATTGTTCATTTACCAAGGGTAACCAAAAGTCATGGTTGACTTATTCCAATTAGCATCCGTTACCTTTGACCACATGTTTAAAACTGTGCCAGTAATCCGGGAGAATAAGTGAAAATGCAGTTTAGTTATCTGGAAAAATAATTCAGTGTTGCACCATGTGCATTGTGAAATTTCAATGTACTTTTAGGCAAAACATTATAATGACATTAATAATAATAATGACACTTGCTGGTTATGTCTTGTCATGCAAAATGTTGATTATTCTCTCCGAGCTAGCTAAATGGGACTGGCTGGAGGAGCTGTGTCTTTGTCAATTCTCCGGCCGTAATTTTCAATACAATGCTCTCCTGTGTTCTCATTACAATGCTTACTTGTTGTTGTTGTTGTTGTTGTTGTTGTTGTTGTTGTTGTTTATTAAACAGGCAATAATCAGGAGTCGCTGCAGGTGAATAGGGACGACCATATTTGGAGGTGAGTGTGCTGTAACTTATACATTTAGATGACTGAGTTAATAGTCTGTGGTAACTGGACTGATTTGATGTTCGATTATCAAGGCACTAAATGTCTTCTATACTTGTAAATACATTGCACTGCATTTCAGTTGCAATGTCAAAAAGTTAAAGGATCACATTCATCCTGTGGTTTGCTTTGCGGGGGAAGGAAAAGAAAATTAAAAACCTCACATGCCGTGTGAGGTGCCTCCTGAAAAAATTAGAATGCACAATCACAATGTGGTGAAAGATGAGATCAAGTCAAGAAATTATTTTCAACTTAGTTTTGTAACAGAATCTGATCCTTTGCGGGTTCTCCCTCTCAGATTCTTGGCAGAAGTCCCGACCCTGCCCGAAGGCTGAGGTGAATTTAGCATGCAGCCCCATCACCAGCTTTCTACACTCTTTGCGATGTTTAATTCATTTCACCTTCACTTTATGCAACACCCATTTCAATGGGTGGCTGCATAGATGAAAAAAGGCATTCCAATTATTGATTTTGATCAATGGTTACATTTTAATTGATCTGCAACTGTTTCTGAAAAGATTTAATAGAATACTTTTTCAACATTTTTTACAAAATTACATCTCTAGGCAGAAAAGTGTTGACTAAAGAACCGTCCGTGTTTATTACTGCACGAGTTGAATAGTGTGGGTATAAAACTATTGTTATGGTAAGACAATACAGATCATTTATATTAGCTACTGTAGGCAAATTTGATTTCCTGGCACTTGATTTGATCAATAACTAAATTACATCGTAATTTACATTTTATACAGTAGAAACTGAGTGAGAAGCAGACTGTGTGTTTAACAGTGCAAATCAAAGCCTGCTTCTCTCGAGACACACAACATGGAATGTTTACAACAGTATGATTAAAAATATTTCCAAAATGTTTTTTAAAAAAAAATTGTTTTTCTTTTTATCAAGGAGATTTTTAACCAATGGCGCTTTACAATATGTCAACATCCTTCCTTTATGTGCTCAGTTCTTGAAATGTACATATCGCCTACATAAGGGCTGCATTATTTATCACACTTCTCTGTATAGTTGTACACTTATTTAGCATCGTTGTATGACGATGGCGAATCAGCAAACAGCAGTCCTTCTAAGGACAGTCCTGAGGCAGCGCAGGGCCTATCTTCTGAGGGGCGGGGCGGGGTGCATCATAAGTGAGCATGCTCGGAGCTCTGGTCGCTGTCGTGACTGTCCTCATTGGCTAAGGAGTCCGTCGAGTGGTGAAGCGCTGCGATGCCAGAGAACTCTGATGGCAGCAGCGTCCCCTTTTTCACATTGACCAGTTCTTTCTCTCGGGCTGCCGCTCCCTGCTGACCGCCCTTCACTCTTTTCCACTTCATCCTCCTGTTCTGGAACCACACCTTCACCTAGAGGACAGAACATGTTAAATTAATTGCTCAAACAAAGTCACAAAAAACTGTTTATGCAATTAGGAAACAATTTTTCAGCAGGTTTCTTTATGATGGCAGCTACAGCTACAGTAATGCAGTGGATGGACTGTTCCATCTGCCACTTGGCGTCTACCTGTTTTTCCCTGACTCAACAGCCTCAACCGTATTTACGTCTCTCAGATTGATGATTAAGCTGTTGCTTAAAACGGTTTACACGTCAAGTAGCAGCAGAGGCCCCCTGAGTGTCGACACATGCGCCCAAAGGAAGGGAGAGTTGGGGGGGCTTGTTCTTGTCACGCAGGGTGGGGTGGGTTTATTTTTGGGGAGTGTCATTCCGAGGGGATCGAGTGGTCACATGGTCAGGAAGTTAGTTGACAGCACAAACGTTTATCTTAGACGTCATCGGCGTACGGCGTGCTGAGTATCACTTCGGATTCTTTACAAGCTTCAGGGCCATTTTCTGAGAGCAGGAGGGGGGGGCGAGAGTCCAGCTAAGGATCATTTATATATGCCAGGCTCTAATGTCAACCCAAACATGTGATCCTTAAGGCTTACATACACACACAGTATTCAGACTCACTCAGCAGCACTGTACCTGCACTGCTTGACATCCTATAGGGACACATATTTCAATCTGAACACATCGCACTATAAAGTATATTTTAACTTTGGATAGTTCACAAGAACTGCTGATCCACTTGATAAAAAATTGCACATTTAAGTATCCATGGAAAACTTACGGGCCACTCTACTTCTTCGCTTTAAGGGCATCCCACATAACACATTACCAATAATCAAATATTGCTTAAAATAACACAACCAGAACTGAATTGGTGTACGAGTCAAAAGATGTCGATTCATTCAAACTAGGCTACATTTGGGTTGAAAGGTGACGTCTATATTATTCATACCAGTTACAAGGTACAATAATACAACCTACTTTTCACTGAAATAAAGTATTTTAAATGATATTAGTACAATGCGCTTCGAGATTTGTCTTGGCAGATGAGAAGCGCTATATAAATTAAATGTATTTTATTTTATTTAATGGTTATACAGTATGTAACCTTTCAACCAAATTTACTGGGTTTTGGATCCAGATCTTGAAGAATATGTTGAATTGTATTTTTATTTTTTATTTAACCAGGTGAAAACATTGAGACAAAATCTCATTTACAATGCTGACCTGGCCAGGAATAGAATAGTTTTCCCATGCAAAACGTTGGGCTCTATTGCTCCACCTAGGCCAACTTTTACAATATTCAGGTGTCCCACAAAGACATAACACCAACAGCTTATTCAGCACAAATCAAATGCCGTGGCCAACTGTTGTTATGCCAATATTTACCTCACTATCCCCCGCTAAATATTTTCCCTGACAAAGCTGAGGTTGCACTCACACACATCCAATGCTGCATAAGCTGAAGACATTTCGTGCACATTTTGCTGCCTCAAGGCAGAAAAGATTAATTGCAACAGTCTGGGAAAAGGCTGAAGTGGAATTAGGATGGCAAACTCTGTGTTTGAGGTTTCTGTGGAGTTTTCCTTGACATGGTGGTATTGAGAAGTGGTCCTTCAACATTCTTTTTACACTATTTGTAATGTGAAGCAAAAGCAGAGGATTACTGACACGATTTCAGATACATTTATCACTTTTCATGTCACAGTTTCCAGTTGCTCCCAAATTAGTCAGAACCTAAATGCGACTGTGCAGGTTTGCTACTCGCATTACTAAGAGCCACTTAAAACACACTGGAATGCACTTTAATTGACTGGGAAAGATTTATTTAGATGGACACTTGTATCTGAAACTTCTGACACAATACACTGGGTGCCAACTGAACACACTTAGCAAGGATGGCTCCACTATGAATTGAACCAATTACAAGGAGACATTTAAGGACTATAGACCTTAATCACCAACGCAAACATTTCCCAAATTGGGATCAATAAAGTACTTATCTTATCTTATCTTACCGTAGTCATATTTTAGTATGTGATTGCAGGAATAGCAGGTGTCAGAAGAAGGGCCCTGCTACTAAATGAGATGGAACTCAATGGTGAGGTTTTAAGTTGAACCAAAATGTCCACAGTGAGAAAGGTCAAAAGCAAATGTCCTTTTTTTTTTTAAATGTTATATCGCATGTACCCTACAAGTGGTTCATGCAAAACGTTTTAGCTGAGCATGACACGTAAATCTTGCCACCACATGATTTGAATCTGAGGTATCACATGCATCTCTAAGGTTTCTCTTTCCAGTATTTTCTTTAAATTTAATCCACACTGTTTCACACTGCAAAATATCACTGGTGAGGTGTCAACTAAGTGTGACTTACAGCTTCCAAACGGGTGTCAGAGAACAACAGGCTGTACGCTGTTTCCTCCCCACCCCCCACCCATTTGTCTCTTGTTATTTATTTCATGTGCCTGCATTTTACAGCAACTGGCCCACGCTCTGAGACCAATTTGTGCAGTGGGAGTGGGAGAGAGGAAGTGACTTGCTAGACAGCACTTCCTCCGGCCCGTCTCACTGCCTCGACTGTGGGCTGCTTGGAAGAATAGACAGGAACATCTGGAATATGATAGTCCCGTCACACAGCCACATCTGGAGCACAATAGCCCCTCGCACCGGAGTTACGAAAACACAGTAGCGAGCTGAAAAGCCTCCTAGTCGTCCCAAGGCCGTCTCTGTTTTCACAACATGGCATTAATGTGCTAATGGGGGGGGTCCGATAATGTCTGAACCCAGGGGGAAACAAGCTGCGGTGGGGAGGAACATACTTGTCTTTCAGTGAGGTCGAGGTTGACGGCGATCTCGTAGCGCCTTAGTCTGGTTAGGTAGTTGTGGTGGGCGAACTCGGCCTCCAGCTCTCGGATCTGCTCCTTGGTGAACGCCGTCCTCTCCTTCCTGGGTTTGCTGCTCACGTCTGACTTGTAATTCCCGTCCTGGGACTCTGAAACCAAACACCACACAGTTTCACTCAGATTTATATGCAACAAAAATAAAAAAATAAAGCCAGTGTTATGTGGCAGGTGCAAGTCAGCAGGGGAAGAAAAGAGGTGAGGTAAGAGAAACAATGGGAGCTGTCAATCACACTTTATTGTTCAGTCATTGTTTATGAACACTTTAAGTGGCTGGAAGGACTCACGGCGGCTACACATGTGTGTCTGACTGCGGCAGCTGTGCGGTAACAATAGGCTGGCTCTTATACTGCCAACATGGATTTAATTTGTCTTCGTCTTAAAAGGAATCTGCTGCTACACCCTTATTTTTAAATATGGAACAAAGCAGGTTTGCTAGAAACATTAAATCTATTTCTTAAGTTCATTTTTAATTAAGATCTCACAGGCAGCTCCTCATTGGGAAGCAAAATCTGCAAAAATATATTTCTTTCTTTCTATGTTTTGCTCTTACTGTATGTGTTACGTGTTCTTTGACATTTTCAGAATGCCTGTGAAACAATCACGAAGTCAAAAGATAAAAATCAAAGATAAAAATGCAGAAAAAGCAAAGATCTCCAAAAGTGTTTCTGTTGTTGCTGGTGTAACTGATATTGTCACTGATAAAATGATGATGAAAAAGTAATAAATATATTATTAAGTCTCCTGTTAATAGTAAAATATATATGTCTGTGCAGGAAACACAAAGCTGGTCCTTGCAACATACTATGCCTTTCATTAAGAAAAATCTAGGATATGCATGTGGAAAAAAATAACTAATCTTCAGTTCATCAGCCCAGAACAATACTTTTTGTTTGGTTATTTCCACAAACTTTCCAAATTAAACACGCACTGTTAATTTGCCTTCCTAAGTTTCCTATTGTGGGCAGCGCTTGTGGTTCCTCTGTTGGACGTGCTTCAGTTGCACATTGCACTTGGAGGCAGCAGTGAGTGCATGCTAATTTATCTGCGGTCCTGTTCTGTAGTGTGTGTTAATCCAGCAGGCCTGCGTCAAGCAAAACTGTAAATAGTCCTGCAGCCCAGAGCCAGACTCACAAATGGTGCGAAGCCTGAAGCCACGTCAGAGGAAACACTATCTTTTTACCTAAGATTTCAATCCGGAGGGACCATTGCTTCTGTTTTTCTGTCAGTATAGAGAATCTTCCTTCTAATTAAGTTTGTGTTTTTTCAGAACAAAATAACTCCCTTGAGAGGCTGAAGAGAAAATGAGGGGTCAACTAAAGCTGCTATACAAAGTTACATTTGTGTGGCACCTACACCATTTTAGAGCCAAGGACAAACAGATACATAAACTGCAAGAATTCCCACATTTGATGAAATGAAACACATCATTGCTTGACCCGCAGCCTGTGTCCAGCTCCTCATTGACCTTTCCTCTCCCTCCCTGTAATTTCTAACTGAGGGCTCCAAACAATGTGTGGCTGATTGAAACGGGCCGTCAGACGTAATTATTTGTTCTCTCTCTGGTAAACACAGACATTGTGTAAAGTGAAATAAAAGAATAACACAACCAGCTGCTTCAGACCAGCAGGCCTGGAGTTAAAATGAGCGGCAGGCTTTTATGATACAGCCACTATACCACAGCAATTAGGTCCCCACTGTAACTTTCATCTCTCCACAAAAAAGGAGGAATAATACGAGAAAATAAGTACACGCAGCCAGACACGGCACGTCATTTATGTTCCCAAAGGAACTGAGCTCATTGCAGGAGGGACCCTCTCAAAAATATTGTCTTTTCTTAAGAAAATAAGACAGAAATGTGTATTCTCTGACCATGGAAAATTGCATTTGAGTTGTTTTCCTTTAGTGGAATTGTGACTTCTTTATTTTCCTTTGGGAAAGAAATATTGCAGAAACACACACAAGATTGAAGTCGAATGCATCGACACATCCTTTTTCTAAATGTACTTTCATGAGAAAGTGTCTGCCAGCTAGAAGCACCTCTCTTATATTTTACAACACTGCCTCAACAAAATAAGACTTCAAGCACCTTTTATTGTTCCACGCAAAAATCTAGTAACTTCTTAAAAGGGCGACCGCTCCCTCAACAGCATTAGTCTATGCAAATATAACCCATGAACTCAGCAAAGTGCACCTACCGACACTCAATAGGGCTAAAACTCTCCAACTTGACTAAAAAAAATGAGCAGGTTCTGCGGAAACCAGACACCTAAAATACCAAGAAGCTGGCTCATCTCATTAGCCCGCCCTGCGGCCTTCCTTGAGGAAACAATCACAAGCGAGTATTAGACAAAGAAAGTTGAGATGCTTCATACTTGAGCTAAACCTAGCATGGAAATGAGCTCTAAGGTTTTGTTATTATTTCTGTATCTAAATTCAGGTTTTGCTCAGGTTTCTGGTCCAGATGGTGAAACCCAATCCGGGCTCTATCTCATGCAACTGGCAGTGGTGTGATATTTAGACAGCTGATTGAGTCAGCAACCTAGTTAGCCCCGATAATCAGCCTGATTGGTGTTAGCGTGGAGGGAATGCACGGCACATGTAATGAGTATGCAGCAACTTTTGTTACAAGGGAAGTGGGATTTGGAGACTGAGGCTTGGTTTCCAAACGATATGACAAAGGAGAAAAGGAAAAGGGAGGTGGTGCGTTGGACTTGTGGATTAAATACACCATTGCACCATTCTGCATGAGGATAACAGGACAGGACTATAACAATTAAGCCGTCTGGGCTCTCCAAAGGCTCTGTGTTTTACATCATTTTGGCATATTCTGTATTGCATGAATCTTTTGTTTAACTACTACATCTAGAGTTCTTGCTAAATCTGGTGTACTTTAACTTTAACTGCGCTTTGTAGTATTTGTTACCTAGATTATTAACCAATACATATTTACAGTGCGGTTAATTCAAAGAATGTTTTGAAAACAGCTGGTCTGACAGAGGGACTGCATGTTGTCTGCAGTGAACACCAGCATCCTGAGCAAAAAAGTAATCACATTCAGAAATATCATTCAGTGGTCCAGCGCAGGTGATATGCTGTGCGAGCAAAGAGGCCCTTTAAAGGGGGGCAGGGTCTGCGCTGAGGGCCCACAAATCCTCAAATGGACACACTGAACGGTGAACGCACTTTCCCTGGAAAACGTAGAACTCTCACTAATATCACGTTCCCTGAGAGGACTCCCGCGACCTCGGCAGTTTGTCACGCCGTGATTGATTATTGTGGGGACTGCAGGTTGGAAATGTCCTGCAGGTCATCATGGAGGTGGTACCTTTTTATTATTGTTTTAAAGGAGGGGTTTTCACATAAATATGCAAAGATTTTTCTTTTAATAGTAATGTCTTATGTTTGTGTATTATTCTATTAATACTTTGCATATTAGATATTTCAAGGACGATCTCAAGCCTTAAATATATCTTAATATTTGCAGTTTATCTACAAAAAGTGTGGACACTAGTCAGTGATATTTTTTAGATCAAGCTCAAATCACCTGCACTAGCATTTAAGTGCAGATCTTAATTTCCTAATGAAAAAAACATTTTATTTAAGTCAATCTTACTGAGCTTTAGAGCAACATGTAATCAAGACATTTTGAGGTTTTACTTATGGTACTAAACATAATTTATAATCTTTGGATAGTCAAATCAATCGATATCACATTATTAAAGTACACAGATATTTAAAATTGACATCTGCAAATTGTGATCATTCATTACATTTCAGTAAGCCAGACTGTGATATACTTTAACTAGAAGATTAAGACAGGAAAAAAGGCTGAAACGCCTCCGTCTGTCGGGTGTTTAGTGTGGCGTGAGGCGCCGGTGTAGTCTTTTACAATCCGTGACATTAATTCTTTACTGTGTGCCTCATTTTCTGCCCTCTGAAGAGTGTCGCAACAAACCAGATGTGATTTTTAAACAAAACATGTCAGTAGTCAGATGTGCCCGCACAGTTACGATTGGCCTTTGCTCCACGCTTCAGTCCGCCTGCTGCAACAGCCTCCCTGCGTGTCAGCCAACACCTACAAACTGCTTCTCAGACAGTTTTTTGTTTTCCTATCACAGCCGCACAAATCTTAACAGTTATGTTCTGTTGAAAGATTGAGAATGACAAGTACAGATGTTTGCTATTCATGAACTCTGCTTGGAATTTCTTAAAATGCTGATATTTATGTGATGATCTTTATCTAACAAGGAGACTGAACAAAAAGACGTGCGAAATCCCTCCAAAAAATGTGACAAGCAGCTCTATTAAATTAAATACACATTTAATGTAGAGAAAAAAGTTTGATTAGATTGGATTGGATACAATCAGATTAGATATAGTTTATTGATCCGGAATTGTGAAATTGTTTATATTGAAACAGGAGGGAAAAAAAACTCTGTCATGAGAGGGTAGTGACTTAAATAACAAAAAAAGGAAATGTCTCCTCTCCTCTTACCTGAGCTGTCACTTTTCCTCTTTCCGCTCCTCTTCTCGGCCTCAGCAGGTGAAAGAGTCTGTCTGCCAAAGTCCGCAGACACACAGGAGGCCCCTGTGGGGGTGCTGCTGATGCCCAGGCTGGGGGTGCTGGCGCACATACTGGGCCCCCCAGGGTGGCCCAGGTCTGGGGCTATGGGCCCGCTGTCATGGGACGAGTGGGAGTGCGGGTGGCAAAGGTTGTGGCGTGTGTTATTAACAGGTGATGGCATCTGTGGGATATGCCAGGATGTGTGGTGCTGAGGCGCGTGGTGATGCTGCTGGGGGGGCAGGTGGCCGCGGTGGGGGTGGTGGTGGTGCTGCCCGGGAAACAGGCCATCGTCCATCTGATAACTGGAGATGATACAGGGAGAAGGTGAGGAGGTGGAGGAGGAGGAGGATGAAGAGGCCAGGTCAGGGTAGGAGACGTGGTCCGAGCGTCCGTGCAGGGTGAGGGGAGACTGGGTGAAGGCAGGGTGCAGGGCCTGCGCCGGGGCGTGGGGGCTCCGCAGGCAGCCGAACAGTGTGTGATCCATGGTGTGCAAACACACACACAGTCCTCCAGGAAAGGTGAGAAATGCAGATAAAAGAGGTGAAAGTAACTAAATAAAACAAATAAAAAAGATCACAAGCACATATCCAAGATGCTCCTCTTTCTCCTTTGACTATCCCACAACTTTTTTCCTTCAGTTAAAAAAATTAAAATAGTCTTCTCTCGATAAGTCAGAGCAGAAAGCGAAGTGTGTTTTGAAGCGGGTGTCCTGTGGTAATCCGGAGCGTGCGGCCAGTTGCCAGGCGGTACGGGATAAACAGTTAGCCCAGGGTGAGCGGCAGCAGAGCCTCTCAGATGTCAGGAGGAAGAGGGGACTGGAGCTCGAGGTGGTTCCTAGGAACTGCAGAACGAGGGGAGCCGGCGGAGGGGATGTTATAAATAGTGTGTAACTTGAGAGGGAGGCTGGGTCACAGACTGCATACGCGCTACTGACCACATACATATGATCACCCTCCAAAAAGCACAGCACAATAAATCTGTACTATTAAAATGGCTGAGCCTCAGGAAAGAGGGCAATTTATTTTGGACTTGGACCTGACCCCCAGTGGCCATCTTTTTTCCCCCTTGCAAGAAAACAGCCCTAATGGTTCAAGGGGTGGGCTGGGGAGAGAGGGGTGATGTGAGAGTGCGTAGGGAGTGAGAGGAGGCGAGGTGTCAGAGGTTAACTCAGTGTGTCGCCCTGTCTTTGTCAGTTTTGACCCGTTAAAATACTGTTAGTCTTGTGGAAAAGAGGCAAGAAGCTTGAACGGTTTCCTCTGCACATTGGTTTGTCAGCCTGTTATTTTTTTACTAAGTCACTGTATATTTAACTCTCCAACTAAATAAAACAGGATCCAGTCTGAAATAGGGGTTATACCTACTACTCTTAACTAAAAACCACAGTTCATTTTAATTTATTGCAACCATTCATTTTCTAAGAGTGAGGTTTTTCTTTTTGTACACATGATTTTTATCTCATTTTGAAATGAAACACCTCACATCGTCAAACCGAAGTATACAGTACTACTGGCGCGGGTCTGACCTTCGATATGAGGTCATGAAGTTAAAATAACAGCTTTGATTACAAAACAGCGTCCCAAACACCAAATGTGTTGGCTTCAAAATAAATACCATTAATTACTGTTGCAACATTCAACCGACTTTTCTTTTAATGAAACCAAACCTTAAATCACTTTTAATAATTATTTTTAAAGAGTACACACAGACAGTAACATCTTGTAGCGTCGGGAGTGACTACAAATAAATGTCTCGGAAATGGTTTATGAGTTTGTTTAAGACAATATTTTAACCACTTAGAACTTCAACATACATCAAACAATCACACATTGTCAGCCCTCACACTGAAGTCTCACTAAATCAGTTTGGCCATAAAAGTGTCATTTTCCAGAAGTGAAGAAGAAGAAAATGATAAGCAGCCGGAAAAGAAGACAGTCTTTGCTTTGGCTTCTTTTATTCTTTCTCATATTATTATTATACATTTATTTTTGTTAATATTATTATTATTTTTAGCTCATATAAAACTGCAACAGACTTATCAGGCGTCAAACTCTTTTTTATAACTTCTAATACGAGACACAGTCTGTAAGTAATTTACTAAATTATGAGGATTGTTTTAAATGTTATTTTAGTATTTTGAATTAAAATAACTAAATTGTATAATTTATACAGAAAGTGTAAGTAAGATATTGTAAATAAGTAGTTTATATGTTATTAAAAATTAAAGATCAATTAATACCTAACATATATTTCCCAATCTAAAATCCAAAGAAACAATATGACCAATACTGTAGTATATCACGCACAAAATGAAAGTGTACATATATCAGACTCAAATGAATATCATATTTAATAAATAATATATAAATATATTCCTGTCACAGAGCTTTCATGGTTTTGCAGATGGACAGTCACAGTAACTCCACACTCTGGGGGTCCGGCTGTGCCACAGGCGCTGTGGGCCGCCTGAGAAAGGAAATTAATTCCTCTTTGAGAGAAAATGACTTTAACAGATATCATGGCGGAGGCAGGCTGTAACTTTGCCGCTTTCACTCCCCCCCCCCTCACCCCCATTCCCTCCAAAGCCTCCTCAGGCAGCAGAGGCAGCGCAGCAGAGGAAAAGCACCTTAGGTGAGTGAGTGTCAAACTCTTCTACTGTTTACCTTACAAATTAAGGCTATTAGCAGGTTAGCTGGGGCTATATATTTGCTCAGGGCCTTGAGCAGGTATTAATACACACGTGTTTCCAATCCTGTCGTAGTCTCACAGCACCGATGGCCTGTGGTGTGAGTGTTTTCTCAGTCAATCCTAGTCTTTGCCCCTTGTGGGCTGTATGAGGCAAAATATACCACTGTGTGAAAATGTGCGTGTGTGGGATACACTCGTATATCGGGCCAATACTAGACTTTAATTGTGAAAATACATGGTGTCACCACGGCAATTTGAGGTTCAACAAAACACCTATTAAATGTTGTTTTCTTTACAAATTTAACTTGTGAATATCGTTTTTATTTAGTTCTGTTTTTCTTCCCAAGCACTGAATACAACTGGTTCTCTTAAGAGCTGCTAACCCCAAAATGTATGACATTAGTTAGGATTCATTGAAGAGTTTCATTGTCCCATGACGTTGTAAATGCTGTTTCAGAGGATTCTTTCACTTTAAAAAGATTTGATCTGGACATGAAAAAAGTCTCATTTGAAGATATTGTGAATATTGGAACAAACCATCAATGACATATTTCTAAAACCTCCAAAAGGACATATTTGTTGAACTTTTTATATGATAGCATGTCAAATGAAGAGAAGAATAAAAACAGATTAGGGGTTATAGTTGTGTAATTCATTAAATATGTCAGTGTAGAGGAACGCCGCCCGTGTGTTTCTGAAGGCGAGGCCGGGCGGTTTCACCACAGTCGACAGAAAGTGAAGGTAGACCACCTGTGGCTGTCCGTCACTCAGCAGGACGCAGCAGCTCACTGACACCGTCACCAAAACAAACATGCAATACCACTTTGGTCCTTTTCTCACATGAAGTTTAACTTTACATGTTTTTTTACTGCATGATTTGGGTTAGGCTTTCTTTTGAAAATACGCAACATGCACTTCTGGAATTAGTATTTTGCTGTCATGCCATACTTATAACAGCTTAATCAAAAGTCAATAAAACTACAAAAAGTAGTGCGGCCTTGGCTTTCAGGCGTCACAGGAGTCCCTAGAAGATCCTTTAAGCAGTAAACTTTAAATCTTAATATTTTCATTAATATGCAGTATATATACATTTAATTAATGGTTTGTTATACACTACAATATTTGAGCACATATTCTTAATGTATTTGTCAACAAATAGACCTCCTGTGGTGACTGGTGTAACAACAGATGACAATGTGATAACACACAGAAGTAATAATATAAATTATGTTAAGTTGAGAGACTTTAAAATTGTTGGAAGATATATTAATACATTTATGAAATAATACAGAATAAATCTCTGTATATTAAAACTAAAATGCAGTTTATTATAAACCATAATATGATGCTAAAATAGGGGTTACAATACAGTTTTAACCAAAGTAAAATGTGAAAAGTGTTTGAAAAACCTGGATTTGATACGTAAAGAGAAGCATTAATGGCAAATGTAATTCAGTCAAATGATAATAAGCATAATAGCTCAAGATGTTCAGTCTTGGATAAACTGTATGAAACCGTATGATAATATTTCTTTGCCAATGTCACTGCACTCACTGCCCTGAATGTAACAGCCCCCGATGCGTAATGCTTCGAAGCAGAAAGCTTTGATCTCGCTCTCGGCCTCTGAATATAATAAGAGCGTTTAAAAAGACCCAGTGTGTGTGTAATCATTATAAGACATTTTCCTCTTGGTTTCTGATTCTCTCTTTGCTAATATGGAAACATTTCAGAGTGTATAACTCTCAGTGAGCTCTCTCATGATGTATAAAGCATGTAGCCAAGTACAGTAAAACTATATGAGGAACCAAATACATCCTAAATGAGATGGGCGGCGTTGTAACAAATAATGTTCTTATAAATAAACTAAAACCTGCAGGATTTTGGTCTGAACTCAAATACCACAGTATATAATATAACAGATATGTATCTTTCATACTTAAAAGTGAGTGAAAGTCTAACTTAAATGAAAATGTAAATTATATAATATCTCCACTTTCTTTAAAAACCTGACGTGTGATATAAAAATATTGCTGGCATGAATATTTTTAATTATATAGGATATTATCTAAAAACTAGGACAAAAATATCTCTGTAAATTATTCAGGATATCACCAAAGATAAGGGCAAAATGAAATACTTTGATTAGTTTTCTAAACTAATAGATACAAATGTTGTATTAACTGTTTTGGGTTACCTTCTTCATTAATTTAAACTTTCTAAACATTGGGATCTTTCCTGATGTGACTTTAGTGGAATATTTGAGTGTGCACATCATCTTCAGAGATAAATGACATGCTTCCTCGGTTTGATACCACAACTTTAAACAGTGACAGTGTTTCAGTGTTGAGATGAACATCTGCGGCGGCGGGGAAACTGTCGTCGCTGCTCGTTTCCTTTCAAACTCCAGCCGCAGATTTACTGTACAGCAGTTGTCGGGAATATTGTCCATAGCGGGATGTCAGTGATATATGACAAAGTCAGACAGTAAATGTTGTCTCCGTTTACAGCTCCATTACATGAGGAGAACAGCAGGGAGTAACTGCATGAAAGCATGAAGAAAAATGGTGACAGCTTCGAATGCATTTGTTGTTTTTAAGCTCACTCCGTGCGGCCTGTGATTGACAGAACCAGGCTTTTGATTGCTTTCCTGCAATTTGGAAGAGACTTGCATAATAACTAAATAACTTGAACAACTAAATCTAAGTAAAGATGTCCTTCTTCAAAGTCTGGCTTATGATGTTAAACACTGTTTGACAGGGTGTATTTCAATTGAGAATCAAGGTTTTTTTTATCACACTTTTCTTGTTTAAGATGAGATCCTAATTTATTTTGGTTGTTACTACTGTCTTGGGAAAACCTGCAGTAGGATTTCTTTGTAATTTGATGTGCTTTCACTTCAATTCAATTAAAATCTGACTGCTATAAATAGAGACAATACAGATTATTCTTGATTATAATCTTCATCCAATAATTCAAAAGGAAAATAGACATCACGGGGCATCAAAAACATCACATTTTCTGTCTTATAAGTTGATATT